TGTTTGTCAGATACAAAGTCTTACAGTTCTGTTTGTCAGATACAAGGTCTTACAGTTCTGTTTGTCAGATACAAGGCCTTACAGGTTGCGTTTGTTTGCAGCGGTTTCCCACCAAACCACAGAACACATCGAGCGCCTCCCCTCCCTGTGGCAGATGACGATGATGAGGATATCTATGGTAACCTACCTCGGATGGCACTGTAAGCAACTTTCTCATAAATCCTTTGCTGATCTGCTGTCTTATGCATACAGAAAAACCAGTTTCAAAAGCACTCATTTCTGACAATACTCACAATCATGGCAGAAGTCTCTGGTAACGGGCTATTTTTTCCTCAGGTGCAAATGATCTTCCTCAAAAACTGAATCTCACTCTGCTAAATGTCGGGGTGACAGCTCCTGGTACAGTTTTATGTGCATCTTAATGAATTGAAAGCTGTTTATTTGATGTTTGTATTGTTGCGTAAAATCAGTGTTTTATTGTAACTGGTAACATTTTGCAATTAATGGTTAATGATAAACATGTTCATATATTTTGAAATAACATTTTAAAAAGGGGCTGAAGTTTTTATTCAAAGTATGGAAAAAAAGTTCTTAAATGTCTATGGAAAAAGGTGATTTCTTGTTTTTGCACTAGGAGATAACTCTGTTCCTCATGACTGATGATTTGATGATCATTACTATTGTTTCTACAGACGGACATGATATAGTGTTAAAGATTCAGATGTAACAGGAATTGAAATCCGTGTGACGTTTGTCTCTGTAGTGGATGTCTAACCCGTGTAATAGTTTGTGTTGTAGTAATACGTTAAGCCTGTGTGTGATGTACAAGTGTCTTTATGATTCCAGTGACCATGACATGCCCCATGACCTCGAGCACACTGATACGGGACAGGATGAGAAGATTTATGATGATCTGTGCTCCATTAATCTTAATTCCATTTCACAGGTATTGTCATGGTGATATACCATCACAGTGCCATCTAGTGGAGGTTTACATGACATGATGTCTTGTATCACCCGGTCAATCTTGAATGTTCAGTGGATGTCTGCTTTATGTTTTCATGTTTTTGTTTTATTGAAAATTTTAGTTATTTCAGTTGTGCATGCGAGATAAATGTTATTGAAAGTGCTAATTGTCATGTAATGTATTCTAAAACTATCATGTATGGCAATGAATCTTCATATAATTAAAAAGTCCCTAACAAAATTTGTTCAATTTTTTTTCTGATAATTATTATAATTCATTTTTGTTTTATATTTAATGGCGATATGTTAAAACCATACACAGATGAGTTTTAGAAACATGTATATGATCATTATTTTAAAATGTATCTTTTACCAAACATTTGTCTCCACATGGTAGTTTTCTGTTTGATATGTTCATTTTGCATGAGTGTTGCATTTCCTGAAATCTCGAATGAAGCTTTGCATCACCATAAAACACATAAAAAGACAGAAAAATCATGTTTTAGTTTACAAACCTAAAATAAAAGACACAAGAATGTCTTAAAGATATTTATAAAAATAAATATCACACTGCAATATTACCATTGATGAGAAAAATGTCGTTAATACTATAATTAAGGTATAACTGTAAAAGTGGAAGTTATCACAGTGTGGAAATGGTCATGGTTTTTACCTTGAGAAATTTAGCATGAACAAATCTGTATTTAAGATTCTACAGATTATGAAAAAATGTACATGCATATATATGAATATAAAGATTTCAGAACCGTATCATTGTCACCACAAAAATATCCACACCAACATTTCCGTGATCAGTTCGAAGGGACACAACTTGAATATTTCCACATCTGAGAATTTCCACTTTCACTTCGATGGGTGAAAATGAGAGAAGTCTAGTTTGTCACTCATAGTTAAAGAATGTCTAAGAAAGCTAGTTATTGACATTATACTTCCATGCACTCTAATCAAAGTTTCCCTTTTATCAAGTAAATATTTATTTGGCTGATTTGTTTCAGAGCCTTTACAATTAGCTTATAAAACTTTGAGTATAAAATGAATGGTGAAGCTTATAAAACTTTGAGTATAAAATGAATGGTGAAAAGCTTTCCATTTTTTTCAGCTTTATGTACCTTTATATGTATGGAAAGGAGCTTGCTTCATCCAAAGATGCATGTTGAACATTTAGTGTTGATATATGTACATGTGTGTGTATGAGTCACGTAGTGTTCCTCTCCTCTTGTCTTGCACCATGCTGTTTGCTTTTTGTTTTACATACCCTGTGCTACAGTGAAAATGATCTAGACGATAATGAGGAAATTTATGACAAAGTTTATCAAGATGACGATGAAGAAATTTACGAGGACTTATGCGCTCGGAGACACAAACGAGGGTCACATCCTGTAACTGTAAGTTACGTGTATACAACACTAATACATAACGATACACATTGTACCCTCTGATACATAACAACACTCTTCAAACTCCACGGTTTTATCTTTTGCTGTTGTACACTATTCCTAATGGTTCACTAAACAACATCATCATGAGTGGAACTGACATTTTTAACTGAACCCCTTTAACGTGGAATGACTGTAGTCTTGTGGGACATTTTATAACATCGCTAATTCAAAATTGAGACAGGATGCAGTGTGTCTCATAAGTCCATGAAACGGTTTAGTATTATTGATATGGTAACTGAGCTACATTGGTATTTGAAGCAGTGGTCTGTTGTAACTAATTAATTATTGTTGATTCAGTAGCAGTAAGTATAACTGTGTGTGATTTCAATAACATACTTTAACTTATAATGAACAATTTCATATAATTTACAGAGTCCAGAACAATTACTGGTAATTTTATAACCTATAATTTACAAAAACACATAATCTTAGTACTTAACCAGTAGTTTCACATAAATGAATTTAAAAAAAACATATCTACCATCTCTAATATCTTAATCACAATAAAGCAGAATTTTGATACATATACATTACTAATAATTCAATATCCTGTAACTTAATTGCATTGACACAGATTTTTTATGTGTTACTAATAATTCAGTTATCTGTAACTGAAGCTTTGCCAGCAAACTTAATATGCAATTTTTAACAATAATTCAGGACATTAATGCTTTACTGGTAATAAACCCTACAGCAGTACTCCTGGAGGGGACTATACCTTTGTACAGTGGTGGGACTGCACAACGACGCACCAAAAAATAGCTATGCACATAGTGCATACATCGTCCACACATGGTGCACACAACTGTGCGATTTAACAATCG